AGGAGAGATTGGACTGAAAAAGTCCGGAAAAGATGAGAGAAGACCTAAGGTATTGTCACAATATAGAAGTAGCACGTGCAGAAATAACGGAAGCCCTCCCGGTAGGGTGGTGGTCCATCCTTCGCAGAGGTAAGGTGTTGAAGGAGGGCGATTGGGTGGCCATGGAAGGAAAGATCAACATGGTGGGCCTGGCTCACCTAATCCGACCGGAGGAGGCGCTGATTGAATGGTACAGTGTTGAAAGAAGAGGGGGTTTAGTAGGTAACCCGGAACCCTTCCAATGGATTCAGAAAGACGTTCTAAACAGGATCAGGGTGCTGGAGGATGGAGAAAATCGACGGGCCTTTTTTCCTGAGATTGCGTTAGAGGCCCTCCCCATGGACCCGTTGGAATGGGTCTGGAACCGTGACCCGCGAAACAGCTCTCGACAAACCAAACACAAAACAATATCCGGGCTCTCGGTTAAAGCGACGTATCGAATGCTCAGATAAAGCGCTGATTAAAAGACACGGTGATCGATCGTTGACAAAAACACCTCAACGTGGATAGGCAACTCCTTGCCCCAATTCGATGGTTCAGCGACACCAAATGCAAACCGACAAAAAATACATTCCTGCAGTGGCAAATCTTGCATCGGTGCCTGCCAACCAACAACTGGTTGATCGACCATACACAGCTAGAACAGCAGGGCCGTGCCCTCCCCTGATGCTCTCGTTGTCTGTTGGGTTTTCCGGCTAGGAAAAGGGCAGAGACAATATTCCTACAATGCCCTGCAACCATTCTAACCTGGAGGTGGTGGGACAGGGTGTGGCAACAAATGGTCCCTGGGCACCTTTGGCCATGGGATTGGCGTGCCATCCTAACAGGCCATTACCCTCCCTTCCAAGACGATACTTTTGTGTCCAACATGTTCCACCTATCCCGACGAACGATCCTGTGGGTCTTGTGGTGGCAAAGATGCATTCTAACTTTAGACCAAGTTCGGGTAGAAGGAGAGGAAAGGATGGAACCATTCAAAACACACTTCCAATTGGAACTCTCACACAGATGGAATTCAATGAAACAAACACTAGATAACCTCCATAGTACCAAAGGCAACCGGGTGCGACTACTACAGTTTTCCAGGGAATGGTTGGGCGGGGACCGAGAGGGGTGGGTAGCGGAGATATGCTGGATGGGGGGTTGGAATGAGGAGGAAGGGGGGAAGGGCAGCAGCCACGGAGAGGAAGTACCAAGGGACTATCGATTGAGATTCAAGGATTGGCTGTCAATAGACCCCAATATCCCTATGAGACCTGCGAATGAATTCCCAGACCCATTCCCCCCCCACCCACAGTCCTTGGAAGTATACCTGTAACTGGTGCCCCTTCTGCCCTTCCGTATAGACCCCGGTTAGTCTGTCTCCCTTTCCTTATCCCACCTCATCTGACGCAGCAAAGGGGGATGGCAGAAAAGTGGCTGAGGAGGGGTCCTTTTGGAAGGATGGGCAAGGGAACGGAAGGAACCACTGGTGCCCCCCAGTGGTCCCTCCCGGACCCCTGTCCTGGCACGGGAATGGAGAAGGAAAATGAGGCTTCAACAACAGAAAATCGGCCGGGTACAGGGCGAAGTGGACCATCAGGCATTCAGGGGGAAACCAGTCCTTCAGCAGCAGGAATTCGGCACCTGGGACAGGGTGAAGAGGCTTACTCCCTGCAGCTCAACATCCTGTGCAGACAATCTTCTGAAGACAGCATTCATCTCAGTTTTTTTCTACCACAACCTGCTCAGTGGCAGGTCT